GTATGAGTCCAAGAAGAAGCTGTGAACGAATAGTCGTGTCCAAGAAGTAGTGCTCCAAGAATACTCCTCCACACCATTTATATCGCGTCAATCACCATATTCCGTCGTCGTCCACATCCTTAAAACCTTGTAATCATCTGTCCGGGAATCATAACCCATGGCAACTGTAAAAGTACATGAAGAAACTTTCCAGACTGAGATCTGGCAAGATCAAGAGGAGATTAAATGATGGAGAAAATTTTTGTGAGCTCATGAAGCAGATTCTCACATGATGTGTTTTGTTTTCCTGATCAAGGCTAATTTAGTCTTTTGGCCTTCAAAATCAATTACAAATGAGACTTTTAGGCTTACAAAACATTTTTAGAATCTATTGAACCTTAAGAGCAATTATTTTTTTAAGGCCTTATATTAGATTATCCCAATAAAAATTGTTCAAATTTCCTTAAGCACAATAAGGTCATTGGTCCAATTAGTCGAATTGGGTGATTTGGTCTAATTTTTCAAATATTGAAATATTGAAATAGGAGAATGATATTTAAGATTTTTTTAAGGGAATTCTTTTTTAGCCTATTTCAGCCTCGAACATCACAAAAAACTTTATTTTACTAAACCTTGTCCTAAATTTTTTTTTTGAATTTGACTTAAATTATCGTTGTACTTTAGTGAGACTTTAGAATAATTAAAATGTTTGTAAGGATTTTCTCAATATATATATATATATATATAAGAATATATATTTTTAAATTTTAATTCAATAATGAATAATCATTATCTTTCTTTTGCCATTGATTACTCTTTGAGTCTAAAATCACAGAAAGGGAGGGAAATTGAAATGACAAGTCCAAATAACAATAAAAGCTTGATTCATTATCAGAAAGAGTTATACCACACACTTACTCAATGTGACTCTTAAGACTCAGAGTAATTGGATAGAGGAGATTGTTGAGTGAGCATGAGAGCATTATCTAATGTACCACAAATCTCACGAGGTTGTGCTAAGTAATCAAAGATATTTTACACACTGCCTCCAAATTTTTCAGGCATAACAGCCTCAAACGAGTGCTTTTGAAAGGAGTTCAAACAAACCATCAAGGACACCATCATCATCACTATCATTACCAAAGAAATAATACACCAAAACTTATTTTCCTTTTAAAATTATTTATCTTATATTCTCAATTTAAGCTTAGGTTTATTTTTAGTTTTTAAGCTATAATCAACACAACTCTGTACTTTATATTTTATTAATAAAAAATACTTTTTATTTTAATCTCTTTGCATCTTCACATCCGAATAAATTAAAGTAAAGAAGCTTGAAAATCCTATGGTTATCTTTGAGATTCAAAGTCTATGGCCTCAGTTTTATTGTTTTGTGAAGAACAATTACTAAGAAAGCATTGATTATTGAAGCAGCAGCCTGGGGGTATTAAATCGCACACTTGCACGTTCGATGTTTTAAGTAATTAGATTAACTGATATTTAGAACCTGTTTGTTTTTTATTTTTAAAAACTATTTTTTATTTGATTAAACAGAAAAAGTAAAAACTTGTTTGGGTAAGCGTTTTCTATTTACTTTTTTGCAAAACTTTTTATATTTTTTTATTTTTAAAAACAAAAAAATAAAAACAACTTTAAAGTTTTTTTCATTTTATTTTTCTTATTTTTGAAATACACTATATTTAATTATTGAAAATTATAATTATGTTGATCAATTTTTATCATAGATCACCATTATTAACCCCCTATAATCATCACCATCATTTTATTTTTAAATTTTAAAACTGTTTTTAAATTAATATAACCAAACAAATTTTTATTTTATTTTTTTAAAATAATTTTAAAAACTTTATTACCAAATAATTTAAAAAAAAACAAAAAAAAAACAAATAGGGCCTTAAACTCCCAATTTCACGTTCATCGCGCTGTCATCAATTCACCATGATGAAATTGAAACATCAATACATTCTTTCTTTTTGAAATTTTTTATGCTTAGTTAATCCGTAGAATTAGGACTATCCAATGCTGAATCGCTAACTTAGAATTTGGTTGTGATTTACCAGTGAAGATAACAAACCTTGCATATATGAAATTCTAAACATTAATGGTTACATATTAATGAACCCTATAACATCACGGAGAAAGACACTTAAGTCCAAAGGGACTATTTTATGCTTGTCAATTTCAAAATGTAAAGAAAGTCTATAGGGTCCTTAATTGATTTTTTGACAAAATTTTAAATTTACAAATTTATAATCTATTTTTTAAAATTTGCAAATCCCTCTATTTTGATTCACAACTCAGTTTCCCAATTTAATTTGAGAAAACAATTATGTTAATAAAAAAATACAAAATTTTAACATTGAATTTCATGATATTATTTATTCAATTTCTTACAACTTACTCTCTTAGATTTACAACTTCATCTACTATAATTTATAATTCTATATTCCAATTTTATTTATGAACACAATCTAAAAATTCATTTTTCTCATGATCAATTACTTATTCAATTCCAAGAATTTTCAACTTACTCTCCATAGTTTATAATCCTACTCACCTTAGTTTGCAAGTTGAGTTCGATCCAAATTTTATTTACAAACTAGAAATTTCAACATTGAACTTTATAATGTTATTTTGTTAGCTATTGGTATTTGCAACTTTGTCATCTTGATTTGCAGCTATATATCCCACTTCTATTTATGAACACAAAATCTCAATATTAATTTTCTTTATGAATTTCTAAAAAATATTTGGAACTCAAGTTGTAAACTATAAGGCAAATGGAATTGCAAATTTTTGGAATTGACGGAATATTTGGTCATGAGAAAAAAAATAAACGTTGAGATTATATTCATAAATAAAATTGAAATATAGAGTTGCAAATTATATGCACTAGATAAAGTTGCAAATTCAAGAGAGCAATATGCAAATTCCTGGACTGAACAAATAATATTATAATGTTAAAACTTTCTGTTTTTTATAAAAATAATTTGTGTTCTTAAATTAAATTAGGAAATTAAGTTGTGAATGAAAATAGAGGAAGTTGTAAAATTTAAAAAATAAATTGTAAATTTATAAGTTTAAAGTTTTGTCAAAAGATCATTAAATATCGCATTCATGTGATTTCCTTTATACTTTGAAATTTGTTGAGATTTTATTAAATAAAATAGTCTCATTAAAACTTAAGTGTCATACTCCCTAAGTCCCTGTCTATATCATTTTATTTTATTTTTATGAAGCGGTGATCACTTCGTTGTACATATGCTACTAAATCTCTAGAAAAACAGTAAATAAAGAAAGATAAAACTTCACTCATTAAAAAATATAAAATATTTATAAAAATTTATTAAAATAAAATAATTCCATTAAGACTTGAGTGTCACACTCCCTTGGTAGGCTAATTATGTATGTGTGGTACTTCCACCTCGTTTTTTTGGGTTAAATCATTTTCTTAGCTGGAAATTCTTTATCTTTCACCCCTACTCTTCGACTTCTTCTCAGCAAACCTTGGTGTCCGATCACCATCCTCAAGATTAACAAGCCCAACATTAGGAAGCAAAGTCGTCTGCTTGGTCGTGGTTGCCTGTGATTTCGAGGGTTTCAGAGAGGGTGGGAGAGGGACAGAGGAAGGGGAAGGGTTTTGATGGTTTGATTTGGATTTCTTAGTATCGGTTTTGATGGAGAGGGAGAAGAATCAGATTGCTATCTTGGGATAGGTTTCGACGAACAAGGAGAGGGATCAGATTGCTATCTTGGGATAGGTTTCGACGAACAAGGAGAGGGATCAGATTTGACTCAGTTCTCGATGGTGTTCATAAGTGGAATGATGACAAAGTAAAAGGCCAAAAGATATAAAACCAAGCTTGCCATCGAGGTTATGAAGATTGCAAGAAGCTTCTGGATTGCACGAAAGATGATCTTGGGAAATCATCCTCACGTGTGATTCTCGCTTCCGGGTTCGAGCTTGTCTTTACGAGCTCCAAGTTCGTGCTCCAGGTTCTTGTTCTTTCCCATTGAATATGGGTTTTTCTAGATGATTTTCCATTCGATCTGGGTTTTTTTGTTTTTGGCATGATTTTTCGTATAATATGGATGGGCTTTTTCTAGATGATTTTCCCGCTCGATCTAGTTTTTTTTTTTTGGGAAAATTTTTGAACCTGTGCTTTTTTTAAAAAACATTTCAGAAAAGAAAAAGAAGCAGGAAAATAGGATCGAGCCCTTGAACACTTGATTTTGGTTTTTTTTTTTTGGTTTTTGTGTTTGAACTGGTTATTGTTTGTTTTTTTTTTCTTGGTGAGTTTTTGTGTGTTAAGTTGTATTTGTAGGTTTTTAACTGTTTTTTTTATTTGTTCAGTTATTACTGTGTGTATTTTAATTTTTTAGTGATTAATAAAATGGACAAAAAAATTTGATGAAAAACTCGAGAAGTTTAGTCAAGCTATTGGTGAAAATCAATTTTAGATTCGATTTCAATTTCATATTGGTGTTCTTCACCATGAAGCAACTTTTTGCTTTGAAATTTCAGGCTCCTCGAGTTTGTCGCTGAGAAGCAACGGCTCTGGCTAACCGCAAATCTTTATGATTCTTGGTTTCCGGCAAAGTCAAATCTCATTTTTTTTTTTTTTGGTTTATTTGATTGTTCTTGGTTTGTAGCAAAATCAAATCTCATTTTTTTCTAGGTTTATTTTATTGTTGTTGATTTGTTTGATTGTTTCAAACAATAGATTAATATGTTTAACTGCTTCAGGCATAGATTGGTTTCATTTAATGGAGGAAGGAAGGAGGGTGAAAAGAGAATTAAAAAAAAAAAAATGAGCTCCACTTCCGCACATAGACTTTCATGTGGCATGTCAACTAAGTATTTAATAGTTAAAATCAAAAGTTAATGGTCAATATGGTCAAACCATTAGGTCAAGGTTAATTTGTATTGCATTTAAAAGCATCATTATATATATATCATTATATATATATATATATATATATATAACGTTCATGAGTACAAGCGCAAACGGATCACAGGGATGCCATTATTACTGGAATACAAGAGTATAATGTTTAATTAGGGATAAATGAAAGAGTAATCTGCGAGGCTTAATGAAGGAGCGAAGCATGGCTATGGCGGTGTTGGAGTACTGTATCCTCCTCCACCTGGGTAAGCAGGGTACGTTACTGGATCTGGAACTTGTGCAAGCTTTCGTCCTGCACCATAATCATTCATATTCATTCATCAATCATCACACTATCAGTTCTTCACTGTTATTTAACTACATATATTTGTCATATTTGACTACGTACCAAGTTTGAGATTTGCGGAAACCAGGTGGTTGCAGAAGACGATGAGTGTCAAGAACATTATGGCCAGAATAGCAGGAAGTGAGGACGACATGTTCCTCCTCTTCATTGCTTTTACTTGAAGGATGTTATATCCACACTGCTGGCCTTCGACAATGAATGCTATTTATGGACTCCCAATACATACATATATATCTCGATCCATCAAGATCACGACTTCAATAACCCTGCTGACTCATTCCTCCATGCCTTTTGTTGGGCTTTGAATTTGTATATTTGATTAATATTTGTCAAAAGTAGACCAATTCCACACCAAACTATACGTTGACTTGATGAACCCCTGGCCAAATTAGATGTACAGGTTATTCAACATAATTAGCAACCCCTGGCCAGTTACGACTTTCGTTTTAATGGCCCTACTTGGTTGGAAGTAGTTAGATTGGCAACGCGTTCTCTAAAAGACCATTTGTTTCCCTTAGTCTAAACAATTCAGTTTTATTTGTTTATAAGTATATTGAATTTGAATATTGATTTTCAGTTGCATCACTTTACATTCATCACATGCATCATGATCTCGCAAAGTTTCAACATTTTCTCATGTTACACTACAACATTTTTTAACTATGGCAACAGTTACGAACTATTACAATAAGCTACAAAACCATTGCATTTAGGTATAGTCAAGGGTTTTTGGGTTTCCAGTTTGCCCCCATTACTTAATAGTCTAAAGTAATGATTTTTCATATTTTAGGCCACAAATCATAAAACCATTAGTAAGACATTAAACAATGGTTTTGAGGTGCTGAAATAAGCAATGGTTTTTGCCTACTTTCTATATAAGGTATAGGCAACATTTAAAAATTATTGCAAAAATATTAAATAGTCAAAATTTAATATTTTCTTTTTCACTTAAGATTTAAAACCTAATCCACTTGAAGTGATGAGATAACTTTAACTACTTTTACAAAATTACTTTTAGTTATTATAATGCAAAATATTATTTATATATAGATAATTGTTATACTAAATTTTAAATTTTTCTAATTAATAAATCAGAAACTAATAAAATAAAATAAATAAAACAAAAAAAGGATCTAGATAAGTTATCAAAAACTGAAAATAAATTATTACTAGAAAAATAATTGGCAATAGTTTTTAAATGTTACCAAAAAGAAGATTTATAGGCAACATTTCTTTTTTTGTTGCCTATTAGAATAGAGAATAATTTCAAAATATTACAATAAAAGTTCCACTATAGGCAATAGGTTTTTATGCTTTTAAAAATGATATTACAACACTTAAAAATTATTACCTATTCTATTTCAAGAAATAATTTTTAAGCATTGCCAAATATTTATTACTTAAAGTAGGGTCAATAGCAATGCACAAAAATATTACTTATATCCAAATTAGGCAACACTTTTAAAGTGTTGCAATCAAAATTGTTGTCTAAAGATAAAAAAAATATTGTAATGTTACATGGTATCATGTGGTCTTTTTTAAGAGAATGGGTTTGGTGTAGTAAATTCTGTACAGTGATTGGGAAGTGGGGTGATCTTCACCTTATGTTCTATCTAATGGTTGGAAAGACAAAGGTACATCATTAGACTTATAATCTGTAAAGCACCCAAATTTTTTTTTATAAAAAATATTTTTATATACCTTTTAAAATCTTTTTAAAATATTTTCATCTATTATTCCAGTTATAAAAAATATTGGGTGTTTTGTAGAAGGCTAGAGGCAATTGGGGGAAAAAAGATTTTAAAAGGTATATAAAAGTATTTTCTGTGCTTTGCAAATTATAAGTCTTTTGATGCACCCCTCTCTTTCTAACCATTGTATAAATCACAATGTAAATATTACCTCACTTCCCAGCCACTTTATAAATTTCACATCACCAAATCCATTCCCTTTTTGTAAACCATGTGTCCTCATCCCTTGTACAATTAATTTAATTAATGAATTCTTTCTCCACTAAAAGAAAAAAAGAAGTAATAGTGGCAATAATTAGATATTAATCATTACCCATAAAAGATCAAGTCTAGTAAAAAGAGTTAGTTTCTTATAATATAACAAACTTCTCAAACATGATTATCTTAAATGGAAAGACATTTGTGCGCAATAAATAAAAAAAGATATTAAGCATATAAGTTTAAATTTAGTAGGTTTAGAAGGATTAATAATTAATGAATTCTTTCTCCATTAAAAAAACAGTAGTAGTAGTTAGATATTAGATATTATCAACGGGAGGTCAAGTCTAGCATAAATAACTAGTCCTTCATAACACAGCAAACCCCTCAAACATAATTGTCTTAAATAGGAAGACATGTGTGTGCAATCAAAAAAGATATTAAGTATATAAGTATTAATTTAGTAGGTTTAAAAGGATTAATAGTTGTTAGATATTAAATAAGCATTCATAATATAAGGTTGCATTTAGATGATTAAATTTGGGTTGAAAGTTTGGATTTGAAATCTCAAATTTAAAATTCACAAATTCTAAATTCTCTATTTGGATGGTATAAAAAATTTTAAATTATAATATTAAAATCATTTGTTTGAATCTTAAATAAAATTTTAAATTTTAAATTCTATATTTAAACTTAAAGACAACTTGAATGATGTCGATAGTCTGGTCCAAATTAAGGGTGGCAATCTAGTCTTGGTCGACTCCAACTATTTAGACTTAAACAACATCAGTGATCTAGTATTGAACGACAATCAACAGCTTAGTCCCAGTCAACATTAACGGCTTAATCCTAATCATTGCTTATGAATTAGCATGGGACAATTATAGCAATTGGAGGATAGCAAATTGGACCTCAATGATGACACTAGCTCATTCCTTGTTAACAACAATGTTTAGCATTGGACGACAAAGGCGAATGAATCAAAGACAGTGATCATAGATCAATCCCAAACTATGACGATGGTCAAGTCCTTATCAAATCCAGCCATCTAGTCTTGATCAACACCTGCCATGTGGTGTAATATACCAAATTTTTTTTAAATAATTTAACTCAACCATAGTTGGGTTACAGCTACCCAACACATTTTTTATATCAATAATTTCAATATAAAATATTTTATAATTGGCTTCAACTCGCACAATACAACATTTCAGATAAATTTTTACCTCCCACATGCCATTAGGCAAATCACATTTATTCATCCTTATGCTCCCAACAAGTAAATTAAATCACATTTGTCCATCTTATACTTCCAACAAATAAAATAAATAATTTAGTCAATTTTCAAAACAAGCCAGTTATTTGGCATCATAATCATGCACATTTTAACCAATCCAAAGTAAACCAAATATTAAAATTACAGTCATCCAAAGTGTACCAAAAAAAAATGTTTGAAAGGCATGATTACATTTATATATTCATATAATTGTCAATAAACAAAAAGCCCTAATATTGATAATATAACACATTATAAATCATAAATTAAATACCCAAAAGAGACAGTAGATCTATGCCACTAAGCCTCTGGGACTCCTTCACGTGTCACTCGTGGCTTTTCTCCTAAAAATTGTTATCCACATAATGAGACTCAAAAGTCCCAGTAACCAAAGCCAATTTATGATAGTTGTGTAAACAGTTAAGTATGTGCTTACTAAGTGGGAACAAAAAATAATATAATTTCAACAAATATAAGAAATATTACAATACACATAATAACCATCTTATATCCCTCTATTAACCTCGAGCTGTAACCCTCACTCGATGTTAAATACCCGACCAAAGGTAAATTAGCCCGAGCCCTTACAAGCCACCTATGAGCTCCAATAGGGACGTACCATGTGGCACATAAATACAACAATAAAGCAAATCTCCCAACACCTCTCACAATAATCAACAAAAGCCATAACAATATTACACAATTATACAATATTATAAAATTTATAATTTTCTCAATAATCACCCAATTAACATGAAATAACACTAATCACAAATTAAAAGCATGGTTACCTCATGGCTTTTTCAATAAATTATTTCTTACAATTTCTCTCCCACCACAATTTTCACCAATAATACAATCTACAATTAACATATTATTATAAATATTAGTTTCAATTTTTAAAACTAATAAAATAATTTTAATAATAGAATTAAAAATATAACATAATTCCTAATCTCAATCTTAATACAATCTAGAATTAATATTATTAAGTAAAATTTTTAACTCCTCTTTTACTCATCAATAAACATTAATAATCTAAAATCAACTTCTAAAGTAATTTCTATTATCAAAATTTCTTTTTATTTCATAAATTCGCACCTAAAATACGTAAAATTGAAAATTGATTCTCAAGCTTAGAATCATAATCCTATAGCCATAATAATCATTTCTCATCCCAAATAAATATCTAAACCTCAATAAATTAACATATATTTTCAGATTTAATAAAAATCTGTCTAGAATTTGATTTATAAGTCACAAATTTAAAGATCATCAACAAATTTATACTTTAAACATTTATTATACTACTAACAACCTTAAAAACTATATTTATTAATAAATTCATCCATCCCTCTTCCAAATCTTAATTTTCTACTACCACAAACTCAGAAACCAAAGAGGAGGATATACTAAAAATTTTTTTAGAACACATACTTAATCTTGAAAAGCTTGAAATTACACCCTAAATATCCTATTAAAAACTCTTACCTTAAAAATTCAGATCTTCCGCACCGACGACTCACGCTCACAGACGCTTTCTCTGATCGCACACGAAAGAGGAAGGAAATGAAGGAAAAAGAGAAGAGAACGATGGTTTTTTAAAATGAATGTGGGTCCCATACTTTTTATTATTTCTTCTTTCCTCTCTCTTATTTTTTTTCTTTTATTATTTATATAAACATAATCATTGCACCGGGAGAGCGCTGAAAGTTCACTTCTTCTTCCCTTTTTTTTTTATTCAGACCTTTTCTTTTTTATAATAATAATAATAATTTAATAATATATTTTTTAATTAATTAATTAATTTAATTTTTTTAATTTTTTAAAATTTTAATTTAGAATTATATTCTAGATTTAATAATATTTTTTACTAATTTTTTTAACTCTAAATATTTTTCAAAATTTTTATTAACCCACATTAACTATTAAAATTTAAATTGGGATGTTACATGTGGTTC